AGTAGGAACATCCCTCAACATTGTAAAGGCTATCTATGCTAAACCCAAGGGCAACATCATTCTAAATGGAGGAAAATTGAAATCATTTCCTTTAAAACCTGGAACAACAAAAGGCTGCCTTCTTTCATCAATTTTATTCAATAATTTCCTTGAAACTCTAGCCAGCGTAATTAGACAGAAGAAAGAAATTAAAGAGATACAAATAGGAAAAGAAGAACTCAAACTATCACTATTGGCAGAGGACATGATTCTATATTTAGAAGATCAAAAAAATTCCATTAGAAAACTTCTAGAACTAATAAATGAATTCAGCAAAGTAGCAGGCTATAAAATTAACACCCATAAATACATGTGTTCCTATACATCAATGATGATTCTACTGAAAGAGAAATTAGAAAAACTACCCCGTTCACAATAGCCTCAAAAAAAAAAATTGGGGGAATCAAATTTAACAAAAACCCTCTACAATACAAACTACAGAACACTAAAAAAAGAAATTAAAGAAGACTTTTAAAGATGGAAAGATCTCCAATGCTCCTGGATAGGCAGGATTAACATTCTCAAAATGGCCATACTACCAAAAGCATTATATAGATTTAATGCAATTCCTATTAAAATTCCAATGACATTCTTCATAGAAATAGAAGCAATCATGAAATTCATTTGGAAAAATAAGAGACCCAGAATATTCAAACCAATTTTTAGCAAGAAAATTGAAGCGGGAGGCATCACAATACCAGAGCTTAAACTATAGTAAACAGCAATAATAACAAAAAATGGCATGGTATTGGTACCAAAACAGATATGTAGACCAGTGGTACAGAATTGAAGACACAGAGACAAACCCACATAAATAAGTTTTCTCATACTGGACAAAGATCCCCAAAACATCCATTGGAGAAAACATAGCCTCTTTAAGAAATGGTGCTAGGAAAACTGAAAATTCATATGTAGCAAAATGAAATTAAACCCCTCTCTCTCACACTACATAAAAATCAACTCAAAGTGAATCAAGGACTTAGACACTAGAACAGAGAACCTACTCCTAATAGAGGAAAAAGGAGGCCCAAATTTCCACCATGTCTAGCTTAGGAATTGACTTCCTTAATAAGACTTTTTTTTTTTTTTTTAAAGAGAGATAGATTGGGGGGGGGGGGGGGGGGGAGAGAGGGAGAGAGAGAGAGAGAGGGAGGGAGAGAGAATTTTTTAATATTTATTTTTTAGTTATTGGCGGACACAACATCTTTGTATGTGGTGCTGAGGATCGAACCCGGGCCGCATGCATGCCAGGCGAGCGCGCTACCACTTGAGCCACATCCCCAGCCCCTCCTTAATAAGACTTCTAAAGTGCAAGATGCAAAATCAAGAATCAATAAATGGGGGTTGGGGATATAGCTCAGTTGGTAGAGTGCTTGCCTCAAATGCACAAACCACTGGGTTCAATCCCCAGCACTACGAAAAAAAAAAAAAGAATCAATGGGATAGAAACAATCAATAATGAGAAGAGAGAGCCTACAGAATGAAGAATATCTTTACCACATACACCTCAGATAGAGGATTAATCTCCAGGATATATAAAGGACTGAAAAAAATTAATACCAAAAAAACAAATAACAATCAAGAAATAGGCCAAGTAACTGAACAAACACCTCACAAAAGAAAAATATAATCAAAATCAACAAATATAAGAAAAAAAATGTTCAATCTCTAACAATTAGAGAAATGCAAATCAAAACTGCACTGAGATTTTATCTTACTGCAGTCAGAATGGCAACCATAAATAAAAGCAAAAATAAATCTTGGTAAGGCTTTGGGGGAAAAAGTACACTCATACATTGCTCTTGGGACTGCAAATTGGTGCAACCACTATGTGAAGCAGTATGAAGATTTCCTCAGAAAACTTGGAATTGAACCTCTGTTTGACTCAGTCATTCCATTCCTTGATTTATACCCAAAGGACTAGAAATCAGCATAGTGACACAGCTACACCAATATTTATAGCAGCTCAATTCACAATAGTCAGGCTTTGGAACCAACCTAGGTGCCCTTCAACAGATGAATGGTTTAAGAAAATGTGGTATATAAACATAATGGAATATTACTTGGCCTTAAGGAAGAATGAAATTATGGCATTTGCTAGTAAATGGATAGAAATGGAGAATATTGTGCTGAGTGAAATAAGCCAATTCCAAAGAACCAAAGGCCAAATATTTTCTCTGAATGTGGATGCTAATTAACACTAAGATAAGAGGGACAAATAGAAGTACTTTGGTTATACAGAGGGGGGAAAAGAAGGGGAGGAGGTATGGAGGTAGGAATGATAGTAGAATATATTGGAAATCATCACCCTATGTGTATATAATGATTACATGTGTAACTACATCATGTACAACCCCAAAATAAGAAGTTATATTCCATTTATGTATGATATGTCAAAATGCATTCTACTGCCATGTATAACTAATTAAAACAAATTAGAAAAATTAAAAATAAAAAAATGCCAATTTTTCAAGAGTATTATGTTTATCTTTGGTGACACGTTTTTCTCATTCTTTTTAAAAATCAGATAACTTTTTATTTGCTTGAATAATCTGGCTGATTCTGCATTAAGATCAAGGGCTGTGGTATTTGGCAATATGATATTTTTTAGAAATCATAATCTTAAAGTAGACTTTATGTATGAATATATATAAATACATAGGTAGGAACAATTGTCATGAAAGTGCAGAAATACCAGTCCATACACATATGTGGACTACTCTTAAATCTAAAAGTAAATATATTCTTAAAAGAAGAGACAAATATATCTATTCTTAAAAGAATAATAGTAGGGTCTAGGGTTATAGCTCAGCAGCAGAGTGCTTGCCTCTTACATGTGAGGCACTGGGTTTGATCCTCAGCAACACACACACACACACACACAAAGAATAATAGTAGATGTGAGGTCATCTTTCAATTGGTGAAAGTCTAATTGCTGTTCTCTCTATATACATGCATATAGTCCTATGATTATCTTCCTGAAAAAAATCTCTAAGTGGTGAGTTAAGTTGGTGTAGAAAGATATTTGTATCCTTTGTTTATACTCTTATTACCACTTTCAAACAAAATGATATTTTCTATTTAGATGCAACCCTGTTTCAGGGAAATCTACAGGCTATATCTTATACTTGAATTCTTTTCTAGCAGTTTTAATTAATCTTTCATTCCCTAAGAATGTATAATTGCAATTTGTGCTATGTAATTAAGTACTTCATTGGATAGCATTGTTGATATCACTGATTACTTACGTGTGTCAATCTGATCTCTCCCCCCTCACCTATGACAGTGAAAACTTCTTGATGATTCTCAACCATTTCTTCATTAATTCATTCAATACAAATTTATTGAGCTCCTAAATGTGTTACATACTCTTTTAGGCACTGGGAATACAGTGGAATACATAGCAAGAATAACAAAAACTTGGATCATCACTGAATTTTAATTTTACTAAGGTGAGTCCACATGATATGTAAGTATTTTAAATACATGGGACATCAATTTCTCAGGTGGGAAAAAGAAATATAACCAAGAAAGGGGGATGGGTGTGCTTTTAGTGGATAATAACAGCTGCATCTTACTTTAAACAGGATGGTCAGGGAAGGCTTGACCCTTTAAGCAAAGGCCTGACAATGTTAGAGGAATGTGCAATGCCGATATCTTTGCAGGAGTGCTCCTGGCAGAATAAAGAGGGACAAGGCCACTGGGATACTATCATGGAGCTCTGTGTAGCATCAGATTCCTCAGGGATATCATATTTCATGTGACTAGGGAATTTTTTTTTTCTGGTGGTCTTTTTAACAAAACAGTTTCTAATTTACCTAGACTATCAAGCCAGTTTTTCCTAACTTCTGTTGATGCTGTCTGAGCTTGGTTATAGTGATATGGAACCATCCTTAACCACATGGAATATATTACATCCTTTTTATATTCATATCCTTACATTAAAAATATCTTTACACACACCTGCTTATTTAATAATCTATAATCACTTGTTCAATGTCTAAGTCACTTACTAGAACATAAGCTTCCTGAGGGCAGCGACCTGTTTTGTTCATGCCTAGCCCTTGGCACCAAGCATACTGACTGAAATACCCTCAGCACTACTTGCTCAAGTGCACACAAGCACAAAGTTTAACTGGCAAAGTTAACGCTGAACAGGTCATGTTTCATATCTTCATAATGCCTAGATATAACCCCTGTGACTGATCATTGCTTTATTCTCATAAAAAGGAGAGCTGAAATCATTTGGAGATAAATGATAAATTAATAAAGTTGCAGAAGGCTTTCTGAAGACGAAACTTCCCTTCCATGAATACAGTAAATATCATTAACATGAATATCAACATGAGCATCATTATCATCAAAAACACCAGGTATACAAGTTTGGTCAAATATACAACAAATACTATTAAGCCCTGGTTATTTACTGGGAACATCTCTGTTTGTGCTACATCTTGTAAAACAAAAGAGAAAAGTCCCTCCCACCACATGATGAAGTTTACAGTGGGGGTCAGAAGGTGATACACAATTAGCATAGTAAATGAGTCAATTATACAATATTGTGAGGAGATTAAAGATAGGGGAAAGTGTGGAGCCCAGTAAGAGAAATTGAGAGTATGAATTCATGTAGGGTAGAAAGTAGGCTTTGTTAAGTAGGTAATATTTGAAAACTGTTAGAAATATTCTGAGAATGAGGGGAAGAAGTAATGAAGTGGCAGAAGAATATTCTCAATGAGACATCACATGTCTGAATTCAGAGAGAAAAGGCCTGAGTATTTCAGACACATTGGTAAAACAAGAGAGAGGCTCTCTGTCTTTGCATTATAATTTAAAATTTAATTTTTCAAAAAAAATTAACTTATAGTTTTAACAAAATCAAAGAAAAAGTTATTTTATGTCATTTACAACAAAAAAAATCACATTTTCAATAAAATCAAGATATTTGTAGATGAGAATCTTACCATTTTTACTGATGTCGAGTTCTTTAAGATTAACTAAACTAGCAATTGAGGTTGGCAGACTTGAAAGGTCATTATCAGGAATACTTAGTTTTCGTAGAGCTTGACAGTTGAACAATTGCTGAAATAGAAAATAATCATTTATTAGATCACAATTTGGTCAAGTCCATCATACATAAACTTAGTAACAAAATTCAAGGCACGATTTTTATCAATGCAGTAGTAAAAAAGCCAGCTATAAAAACTTGACTTTCTCTCATACCCGTGTTCTTGTTTTCACAGTGGTTTCACGTTCTGTGTCCGTGTTCATGCCTCATTATTTTCTGCTATCCAGATGCAAAACCCCAAGTATTCCATTCTTTTCCCTTCTGTTTGCCCTTTACATTCAATTTGCTGCTGAATCCTACTTATTTCTTTTCTGTGGAAATAACTTCTGGCATCTATTTCTATTCCTGCAGCTACGAGGATTACCTCAATTCTCTTTTTGTGCAATCATGTTACATTTCATAAAGCATTACTTCCATTTCATCAGGTTGAACAGTTATTTATATGTCTTTGGTATCCCCCTACACTGCTTCATAAATACCTGGTGAATGAAACATTTAACTTCTGATATTCGGTGAAAAAAATATCACTGGTGGTTAGTTCATTTTTTTGTATCAGACCAAAGTAGTAGGTGGGGAAGAGCCAGGTGCTAAAGAAATGGTTTTCAAATTCAGCATGCTATAATCACTAGTGGATGGAAGTGCTTGTTTAAAATGTGGATTCTCAGGCTCTACTCAAATAGGTACTAATACAGCAGGTCTGGGAAGGAGGTAGAAAAATGTTGGCAATTTTATCAAGTATACTGGTGATCTGAATATTTTAATGTAGGTATTTCTGGTACTATATTTTTGAAAATAATAAATTCAGTTTTTTAGCTTTGTCCAACTCATCTTGATGACTACAAGATATGAACAGCTGGGACAGAATTTTTATTCATTTCTGGAAGAATTATCTTAAGGAGATCTTTTTTGTTCGACACTTCTGTTTTGCTGCGTTTTCACAGATGACGTCTTTGGTATCCATGACTATACAATTGGCCCACAGTATATTTAACTACCACTTGCTCCTACAAGTAATTCATTATTTATGGGGAAAAATAATGTAGCACATGGTTGCTATTTTTTAACTCATTAGTTTTTAAAAAGTAGATTGTACTTGTTACATAAGATGAAATATGAAGTTTCTTACTTTGGGTTAGTCATTTTTGGCTCTTTACAGAGATTATCTGCAACATTTCATGTAATGTTAGGATTAATTTTCAATATCTTGTAAAGAAAGAAATGTTGTTGATTCTTTTTATAAAATCTCAAAAAGAAAATTTTAATGGGTACTTTGATGGACAGTTTCCACTAAATACTAATTTTCCTTCTAAAGAAACAGGAAAAGAGACGTCTACATACATAGTAAAAGTTAATTCAAATTTATTTACAGTCTTTACCATTTTGTTAGAACTGTTACATCTTCACCTACCTGCAATATGGTTAGTTATATATTCATGCACTTAAAAAATTAATTACCTCATCACTGATTTAGTGAGATGTACTAACCATTCTTTAGTCTGAGTATGCTAACCATTTTAAGCAATGTTTAGTCTTTTCTTTAGTTTAATGCTTTCCAAAACATAGCTTGTTTTTAAAATTGTTCCATTATCACAACTAAATTCTCAAATGCTCTTAAGGATTAGCAGAAGTCCCAGGGATCTTCAATTTTAAATGACGAGTCACATCAGGAACAAAAGATGTGGAAATTCCTGAACATGTTATAACAGAAAGAATCCAAGACCTATTTGGTATAGAAGTTAAAGAGGATCACATCTGGCATCTAATCAGTATGTTTTCAGTCTTTGCTTATCTGTTTATTACCTGGGCAATCCTGTGCAAGTTACATAACATTTCTGAAACCACCATTTTCCTTGCCTATACAATGGGAATAATAAATTACTTAACATGAAGAGTTATTGAGAAGATTAAATGAATTAATATATTTTAATAAATTCTAAGTCCTGCATTTCCCCATCCTAACATCTCTGATATTTGGAATGCTTTTTATGATTAAAAGTAAGTTATTTTTAAGGAGTACCTTTTTCTTTCTTTATATTATTATAAAAATGATGCATCCTATAATCAATAGACTTAGATATGATGAAATGTAAAATGTAATACTGTGGTTGGCCCATAGTAAAACTTGATAATTGTTAGAAATTAATGACATTTATATCCACAGATACAGTGGGACACCTTTATAGTAATCTACTTCTACTTCTTACTTGATAAGGAAGTTTTTGAGGCAGGAGGGTCATGCCTGATTCATCTTGGTATACACCTACTTCCCTTCTGTATACTAAGATGACTAGCCCAGTTTCTTATACAAAGTATGTGCTGAATAAATGTTTTTGAGAGCATGCACAGATAACTGAAGGGAAAATGAGAAAAGTGCTAAATTCTAGCTGACACAGTTTCCTTGGATGGGAAGCTTCAGAAAGGTAAACAATCTCAGCAGAGTCCACGTTTCATAAAGCTTCTTAATATGAGTGAAATTCTTAATATGAGTCATGGTGTCAACAAACTGGTAAAGAAATTAAGATGATAATTTAATGGCTTTTTCAATATTCAAGCTTTGAATGCAAATGAAGAATGATTCTGAAATAGCTGCAATTCTTCAGTATAGTAGAATATAACAAATATAATTAATAACTAATTGAGCAACTAATGATTATGGTTTTCCTTTGCTAGTGATATCTCACAAAATAAAAGTATTTTGAGTCTTAAAACATTTAAATGTTAACGTGCTCTTTCTCTTTGACTAAAGGAAACAATTTAATCGAAGAAATTAGTTTGAGAAGCTATCAGTTTAAATTGCTGATTCTGAGTTAGACATTTAGACCTGAGGCACAAATAGATTTGTGTGTGTGTGTGTGTGTGTGTGTGTGTGTGTGTGTTTATGTGTGTGATAACCAAGACAAAAGAGAAAATCCCCAAACTTGAAAATAAAAATATTGGGGGCTAAAAATGTATATTCTAAAAGGTATTATTTCATTCATTCATTCACTCATTTATTTATTCATTCATTGATTCATAAAAAAAAAAACCATTTAGAAATTAGGCAAAGTGCAAGGAACAAAAGTAATTAAGACTAAGCAGCTGAGCCCAGGTTCTTTCTGCTTTCACATTTAGACATAAATCTAAATACACTGTGAAAAACTACATTGGAGTAAATGGAATCACACAGGTAGGATATCAGCACAATTTGTGTAATGATGGTGCTTGAGCTGACTTTCGGAAGTATTCCCCGAAAAGCAATAAAAAACAGAGATCTCCCAAGTCAATATTAAGTTAGCCAGGTGAAGGATAAAGAGGAGACAATTTTACACTTGGTGTATCTGAAGACAATCCCAATTCAAAGAATATGTAACACAAACTTGTTTCAGATATTTACTAAATAGCATGAGGAGACTTAGATATTGGGATGAATGCGCGCTAGCCTACAACATCTACATGCATTTAAAATATATTTACTGAATATCTGTTATATATCAGTATGCCTCCTCATGCCATATAAAAACAAACATAAATCTCCTCTGAAGGTATGAATTTTCAATTTAAGCCTTTATTTCCCAAAGTTCCAATAAACATAGGATCATTAAAAAATTGTTAAATGTATAATGAAATAATTGCATTGAGTGAGATGTTACAGGAAAACAAAGAATCAGGCCTATAAACAAAACAGATATTAAAATTACAGAGCATAAAATGAAAAATTCAGTGTTCTATAGCACAATAGGTAATTATAGTCAATTAGTGACATATTTCAAAATAAGTAGAAAAGAAGAATTCAAAGCTTCCCAACACATAAAAATGATAAATGTTAAAGGAGATGAAAATGCTAATTACCCTGATTTGATCATTATATATTCTAATTGAATAATCTTACAATACCCCATACATATGTACAAATATTATGTGTCAACTAAAAAAAATAAATTTAGAAAAATTTTAAAAACTTAGAGCTGATTTTTCAACACCAATTAAAGCAGAAATTCATTAGATGCTATCCCTAAATTACCGAGAGTAAAGAATCTTATATTTACAGGTATCTTTTTTTTAATAAAAAGAGCAAAAATCAACATTTCAGAAAGACAAACTGAGTTTACCACCATGAGACTTGTACTACAGCTGCCAAAAGATGCCTTTTATTGAGAAGGAAATGATCCCAAATGAGAGGTCTGACAGAAGAAATGTCAATAAAATTTAAAAACACGAAAAAAGGAAAATGTGTGGTTAAATCTAAACAAATGCTAGCTATATAAGACAACAATAAAATAGCTAATTATTGGATTAAAAAAATCAATGTAGAACTAAAATTCTGAAAAACAAATGTACATTTATCAGGAGAAAGATAATTAGATTAAAAACATTTCTCTGATTTTTCCCATTTTGGGAGAGGAGGGTATGTATTCACTCAAATATGTGAGTCAAGTTAAAGAAGTGTGTTTAAGCCTGCACAGTAGTGCATGCCTGTAATCCCAAAGGCTCTGAAAGTGAGCAGGAGGATTGAGAGTTCAAAGCTCGCCTCAGCATTAAGCAACTCAGTGAGACCCTATCTCTAAATAAAATACTAAAAATAGAGCTGGGGACATGGCTCTTGGCCAAGTGCCCCTGAGTTCAATCCCTAGTACCAAAACAAAACAAAACAACAACAACAAAAAAAGAGTATTTTAAAATTTGTAGAATGACAACTAAAAAAAATAGAAATAAAGTTATGATTTCCTTATTAGAAGAGATAAGGAGAAAAAAAGATCTTTAATAAATATAATAGAAAAATATAAGACTTAGAATGAGATGGATAAAAATGAAAAATAATAGTGAGATAAATTAATACAAATATATCAATAATTGCCATCAATAAGTATGGGTTAATCTCTCCAGTTAATTAATAGGATTTCAGCAAAGTGGATTAAAACTAAAAATAATCAAGCTATATGCTATTTTCAGTGGTACATTAAAACTTAATGAGATTATTCTAATAGACTCATATAGAACAGTGACTCAGCTGCTATAGAATACTTTTTTAAAAATG